AAAAGGACAGTTTGTGTTTTACACAGGGTCAAATTTCTTTGAGATAGATAATATACAAATATTAATCTTTTGGAAGCTGAGGAAATAACAATCAGATATGTCCAATGGTACAAAACAATTCATGCATCACATATTCATGTAGATGATACATTGTTTTATTTAGTTTAAATTGTTTAGACATTGTAAATAATTTCAGAGAACAAAATTCAGTATTCTAGTTGGAAACTAATTGGCTATTCTTTTAAACTCCTCACCTAAACCCCTAGACATTGATATTACAGTTCTCAAAAGAGGCAAAACTCACCAAAATTTGACTTTTTTAAGAAGAAAGAATCAGCTAATAATCTACAGATTTTGGTTTTCCTTGATAGCAACAACAATGAACATTAAGTAGTATACAAATAAAATTTTATTTCTTTCCATGTGAAGTGTCAGGCATGGTGGTTAATAAGGACAATCTCATTAAGGTTTTAGGAAGTAGTTATTATTATCCCTGTTTTCTAATGGGAACATTAAAGTCTTGAAGACAGAAATAATTTTCAAAAGTATATATAGATAGTAAGTCAGAGAGCCTCTAGAAAATTATTTTTGCTTGTTTTTAAGCCCAAGTTCTTAATGACCATGTCACACTCTTCCTTTGTTTTTTCTTCTTTCTTTTCTTTCTTCCATCCATCCCAAATATTTTTGAAGATGCACTAAGGGAATTATCTTAGTCATTAAGGACTCCACTCAGTTGGAATTTTCTCCACTTTAATATTTAATCATATAGTTTTCTGGAAACTGTTTATTTTTTAATTATTTCACATTACCCAAATGTCTACTAAGTACTTGGTAACCGTCTGGTCAGTTAAATATTTTGTTTTTATGTAAACTAACTGGGGATTATCATGGTTAGATATCAGCTTAACTAATGCATAATGTTATGCTTTTCTACCTTGATCTTTTTATTTCCATGCAAGTATGGGGGAGATGCTTTACTTAGGAACTGCAATATTAATATTTCTTTACACATCCTTTGAGTACAGATGGCAATGGGAAAACTAAGCACTTTATTCCAGGAGTCAGTCGAGTATGACCCACAAGCGAAACAGGCCAATATTCACTGAGTATGGAGCAGTTACTTCTGTTGTCTCTCTTAAATATACCACAGAAAGCTGCCTCCATCTGTGAGAATCCATGTCAGGGACAGGTTTTCCTTCTGTCTTGTAAATCAACAGTCATTACTTCATTTAGTTCAGTTCAGTTGCTCAGTCGTGTCCGACTCTTTGTGACCCCATGGACTGCAGTATGCCAGGCCTCCCTCTCCCGGAGGTTACTCAAACTCATGTTACTCAAACCATTGAGGCGGTGATGCCATCCAACCGTCTCATTCTCTGTCTTCCCCTTCTCCTCCCGCCTTCAATCTTTCCCAGCATCAGGGTCTTTTCCAATGAGTCAGTTCTTTGCATCAGGTGGCCAAAGTATTGGAGTTTCAGCTTCAGCATTACTGCATTATGCCTATACATGTACACATGAAGTCTTATTGCAAGTTAGAGGACAACCTAAAATCGGCACTTTCATGTTATGAGTGAGAACACTGGAAATCTACTTTCAAAGGATTTCAGACTAGGTATTTTCCCTTTCTGTGTGCATGCTCAGGGCATAGAAGCCATAAGCCTATAAAACCAGGGTAAGACCAAGAAGTGGCAGAGTAGAAATAAGTGCCCTCACACAACCACAATGCTAATCCAATATTTGCAAAAAAAAGAGAAATTGGAAACGCTGAGGACAGTTGTAAATCACTGGTTTGTTTGCAACAGAGTTTATTGCATAGTCTGAATTTTAGTGAGTATACAAACTTAAAATGTTAGTTTTTCTCCAGTTGTTGCATCACATGCTCTGAAGAATATTCCTGTCTAATCTGACATCATTTAGAACAGATTCTATATATTTCTGGTCACTTTCAGTTATTAAAAATACTAGTAATGTTCAGCTTAAAGCTTTGATTTAATTCACAGTGCAATGAAAAACCATTGAAGGATTAAAGCAGGGGAAAAAATGGCAAGATTAAAAATTTTAAAGACCACTCTGATTTCTCAGCACAAAGCAAATTATGGAAGAGCAATAGTGAAAGTGGAAAGACAAGAGTCTGTTACAGTTGACTGACAAGACATGTTGATGATTAGAACAAGCATGATGGCAGTAGAGTCAGAGATGGATATGTTGAGAATTACTTTATAGATAACACCACCAGGATTTGTTAATGGAGGAACCATAAGTGATGAAAGAAAAAAAGAAATCAGTGATGACTTCTAGGGACTTTTGGGAGGTTGGGGGGAGGAGAGAAGGGGAGTTATGTTGTCTTTTTTATTTTTCGATTGACTACCTGGTGAATAGTGGCTCCATTTATTGATGGTTTAAAGAAACAAAAAAACAAAGAAAATAATACCCGCTTGACAGGTGGAGATATATCAACAATTCCACTTCAGATACATTTAATTGGATGCCTCTGAGTCTTGCAAGAGGAGGTATCAAGTAGATGTTTGGATATACAAGTCTGGATCCCACGGGAGAAGTCTGGGCTAAGATGCTACTGTTCAGGTTTTGAGTATTCAGATCATACATAAAGTAATAACAAATAAGACCACTGAGATAGCAAGTAAAGAGTAATGCCAACATTTAAATAGAAATTTAGAGTGAAAATGTATAAATAGTGACATAGTAGGATGGAAAGCAAGAGAATCCAAGAAAGGAGTCTGCTAAGTATTCATCAAAGGAAAAAATTGTGATTTTCATTGTAGAAACAAAAAAACAAAGAAAATAATACCCGCTTGACAGGTGGAGATATAGCAATTCCACTTCAGATACATTTAATTGGATGCCTCTGAGTCTTGCAAGAGGAGGTATCAAGTAGATGTTTGGATATACAAGTCTGCATCCCACGGGAGAAGTCTGGGCTAAGATGTTACTGTTCAGGTTTTGAGTATTCAGATCATACATAAAGTAATAACAAATAAGACCACTGAGATAGCAAATAAAGAGTAATGCCAACATTTAAATAGAAATTTAGAGTGAAAATGTATAAATAGTGACATAGTAGGATGGAAAGCAAGAGAATCCAAGAAAGAAGTCTGCTAAGTATTCATCAAAGGAAAAAATTGTGATTTTCATTGTGGCAATTTTGTGGAACTACAAAGATAAACAGTATTTCACAAATGAGTAGGAAAATGGATGAAAATCGAGGAAGGGATATAATATATATCAATAAATTTTTATATTAATTACAGTGAAGGGAAACAAAGATATGTTGGAGGGGAATATAAAGGGGTGAATTTTTGTTGTGTTTTATAATTTTTAAAGTTTGTTTATCTCTTTTAAGTCTGCTGGAAAGATAGGTTTTAGAAGATACTACACAAAGATAGGCACAATCTAATAATGAGGAAAGTAATTGATATTTCAGGAGAAAATCAAAGGTAGGACTAAACCAGTAGTTAAGACAGACTTAAGGGATATGCCCTAGACTGACATACAAGTACTGATTTGTCTTTGATAGGAGAGGAATCAATTTTCTCCATTTTAGTAGACAAGGAAGAATATAAAGAGGTGTGTGTAATTACAAGAAAGTATATAGAATTTTTGCTATAAAGATGAGAAGGTTTCTGATCAGTTAAGTAATTTGATTATTTAAGAAAGAACTATCATGTCTTTCTAGGAGAATGGTGAATTACATTTCTCTTTCATATTGTCCATCATTTCAGTGTTGGGTTGGAACATATTTTCTATTAGCAAGACACTGCTTAAACAATTAAAAATGAGAAAGTATAAATTGTGCATGTAATGTGCAATTATTGATGAGTATAATTTAATTATCATCTTTCTTATTCTAGAAAAATTAAATGTCTCCTACTGCTACCTAAGACCAATAGCAGCCCTCTTCTAAGATGAATATTACTTGAGGGATCTATAGGAGAAAACTTTTTCTTTCAAAATAAGAATAATGTTATTTACAGCATAAAATCGAGTCTTTCCAATTAAAACTAGCAATAATTATGAGTTTTATTTATTGGGATGAATAAATGCAGTATATGTGCATATATATCTATAGAAATAAATGTTTTTAAATTTATTTTAAATTAAACAAATATGAATTTTTTTAATGATAAAAGGTACAATTCACAAAAAAGATAAACATCATAAACCATTAGACACTTTAACAAAAAAGAAAGAAAACTTTTATGTATACTTAATACCTAGCCCCAACTAAAGAATAAATCTAGGATACCAAGAAATATATGGTATATGTATTTCAAGAGTTTATAGTTTTAATGAAGCAATAGTGAAGTAAAAAGTTGTTTAAATTACATTATAATACATTCTTAATATAAGTGTGTTTAAATTACAAAAGTCACACAATACTAAGTATCCCCTAAAAGATATTCTTCCTAAAAGAAATGATCTTAGAAGTGGGCTTTAAAGGTTGCATACATGTTGAACAGATATAAAGGATACTTATCATGTTTTAACAATAATCTAGTCAAAGGCCTAAGATACAGGGGATATGGACAACTGAAAATGAATAGTTATTTAGAATTCCAGGTGGTTGGGTACAATAAATTGATTTTCTCCAAATCAAATTCAGTTACTGAGTATGGCATTCATGGCATTCATCATATACAAATTCACTTACTAGAAAATTTTGAGTATCATATATGTATTAAATAGAAATTAGGTTAGCTCTAATATCAAACTAAAAATTTGGTAATCTAATAAAGGTATGTAAAAATAATTCCATCTTACTTCCTCAATTCCAGTACTACAATATTTAAATATATCAAATCTTCCAAATTAGAAGCCTTTGCCAAACCCAACTATACCAGTTCTACATTTTATGTCCATCTGATGTTTATTTGAACCACATAAGACCTGAAGATTTGGCCTTAACTGAGTTAGCCTCGGTTGCTTCTCAGATGGTATTATTGCGTTTTCTACAGTGATTATTGTGCGATTGCTCTCTTTTCTAGATTTGGCAGTGTGGAGGCTCGCTGGAGATTGTGACTTGTTCCCATGTTGGCCACGTTTTTCGGAAGGCAACTCCCTACACATTCCCTGGTGGCACTGGGCATGTCATCAACAAGAACAACAGGAGACTGGCAGAAGTCTGGATGGATGAATTTAAAGATTTCTTCTATATCATATCCCCAGGTAAGCCATTCTGACATCTTTCTTCCTCTGCAGGGGAAAACAAAGTTTTAAGAATGCTGATTATATGTTCCATTATTGCCATTATTCCATTCCTTTAAATAAGGTATTGTTTATCACTGTAATATTGTAGAAGATTGCGTTTGAAAAGTTGTCCTGTGAGGTGACTTTTGACCTAAAATGAGAGAGACTATTCTTGTCGCAAATGCCTGAACATTCTTTTTTCATTTGTTTCTTTATGAGTACAAGTATTATACTAAAAAAAAAGAAAGAAAGAAATAAGCAAGCAATATACAGGGAGATCCAAACTTAATTAACATGTATCAGTACAATTTAAGAAAAAAAATTTTAAGTTTTATTTCTATGTTTCACACATAATGCTGTGTTGGTAAGAAATGTTTTTAATTTTTTTTTTTTTAATGTTCTTACAGAGATTTTTTTTCTGCGTTATTTTCTTAAAATACCTGAGTAGGGAGAGAGTGAGTGATTTCCCACAGGAACAAGATGGAAAATTATGCAGATATAAAAAATACTTTAAAGAATATATAATAACAGTAAATTACTCATCTATGCATGTGAAAAGACAATAATATATGACAATAATATAGCATCCTACTTTAGTTACAGAGTAGGATAGATATGGAAATAGAAGTAGGATATCACTGGGTAGTGAAAGAGAAATATTTTAAACCTATTAAAAGAGAAAAAATAAATCATTGTGAGAAATTCCATTACTGGATGATGTGATTATGAGTGATTTCATTCTTTAAGATTTTCTAGAATATCTCCAACAGCCATACTGCATAAAAAAAAACTCTGAGATATTGTTTTTAAGTAAAAAAAATGAAACATTATGAGAAGATACAAATAAGAGGAAGACAGGGTTGCCTTTAAGATCTCCAATCTATACAAAGAAAGCAAATCATAAATTATATAATAGAAATTGAGCTGTACTGGTAAAATAATTTGTTGTGTTCTATTTTTGATAGTTTATAATAGGACTTATGTCATCAATGCCATTATTACGTAACATGCAAGAACAGCAACAAAAACCCATGCCCACAACCTCTTTTCTAAATTATCATCTATCACAGGTTTAGAAAAGTCAGTGTGGGTTCTAATCGACATGCTCAGGTTCTGAAAGTAGATAATGAGGCTGTGAAAACCCTTCTTTTATAGATGAAGAAGAGAATGAGCAGTATGAGCTTTCTTGTTAAGATCCAGTATTACTCTGTAGAAAAGAAAAATTGGGGCAGTGCATGTGTAAATGTTTGATTAGAAGAAGGATTTCTTCACACATTTTTAATCCTCCCCTGTGTCAAGACGCTATTGCCAAGAACACTATTTCTCATACAGATATATTTCTTGTTACAATAGAAACCCGGCCCAGATGTTCACAAAGTTGAGCTCTTTCACAAAGAGAGAGCATGTAAATTTTCTGGAAAGCAGTGACGTTTATATAACCTTTTCATTTTCTTTTGATGATACTTGTTGAATTCAAATCATTACTTGTAGAGATATATAAGCTCAAACATCAAAAAAGAAGTAATGGACAAAAGAAATGTGTTATGTGTAATTATATACAATATACATTCAGGAATATAAGTAATTGTGAATAATTGTAACTATGTGTATTATATTTACTCATGATGAATATTTTTTGTGAAACCAGGTGTTAGTCTTTTGTATAATTTCACATTGAATGAAAAAGGCAGATAAATGGTAGAATCATTTTTCATAATGTAGTGAAATGACCAGCTTCAGAGTTTAAAGGTGAAAAAGAATGCCTGCTATCTGGAACTAATGACTTGCTGCGCAAGAGGGACTCTGTATATTCTGGAAAATGTAGTTATTTTCATTGCAATAAATATCATTTGGAAAGTTGTTATTCATATAAAATTGGCTCATTTAAGCCCAGAAAGGTACTTTGGAAAGCAGTAAAAGAACTTCTTGAAAAATATCTGGGAATTTCCTAAGGGGCATTTATGCTTTTGTATGTCTCAGAGATAGCACTGCTGAGTGTGAAACCCGCCTGCTCTATATGGGCAAAGAGAGAAAACCACAAATCTGAAACAATAAATTGCTGCTCAGTGGAAAAGGAAGATGGGAAGTACACTGGAAACTACAGTTGCATGCCTATAAACAATTCTAGCCCTAGGCAGGTTTCAGATCACGCAAAAACAGATAAAATAGGTTGTATTGAGGAAGTCAGGAATCTGTCATTTGTATGATGGAAAGCCTTCTTTGGGTAACTATTTTTGTCATGACTGATGGTTTCTGTGACTCTTAAAAGCATGAATTTCTTTGCTATCATCTAAAATCATGGGGTTTCTGTTTTTCATTTAAGTTTGCATGAAGAGAAGTTGGTGTGGGGTGAGATTGGAAGGATACATACATGTGCATTTACATTTAGAATTATATCCTTTTCTATAGTGTACATAAACACACACACACACAAACACATTTATGAAAAATCTAAAAAGTTTATATGGAATTTTAAGTCTCCAGAAACTCCATAAAAATCTGGTTGAGAAAAATGTTACAGTTCTTTCTAGAATTAACTCTGTGTATCTGTTCATTTTTCCAAGATATTTTATAAGGATACTCCCATTTTTTATACCAGGGATTCTAGTACAAAATCTTATTTTCCACTTATGCAGTTGTTCAAAATGTGATCTTTAAGTACTGAGTCTTTGTGATTGAATGTTGACAACAATCTTGCTTCCTTTCAACATGCTCTATAAAATACTACCTTTCTACTTTATTGATTGGTTTAAGGATGCTTCAGTTCTGTCTTGAACTAAATGGGTACTCTTTCTCTCTCAAAAGTGTATTTCTTGCAGTTTTGATACAATGGCCAATCAATTCTTACTGTATGCTATATTCTTTTATCTTTATTACCTATCGCTATAGCCAGAGTAGTTCAGAGACTTGTGTTACAGTGCTTAGAAACCTTCCTGTCACTTTATAGTCCTTGAAAAATATATGTTTTGAATAATTAGAACAATAAGTGAATGACTGAATCAATGAGTGAATTTTTAAAGGGGGCCCACTTTGTTTCATCTTTTCTATGGAATTCTCCATGGATGTCTGCTCTTTATCAAGGAATCCCTTCATAATAATTGCAGCAAATCAGAACACTTTGTCCCAACTTTCTATTCCAACCCTTGATAGCAGATCCACTGATAAAAGAGTGGTAAAACATACTTCTCATATACCTGCATTCTCATTCCTCTGACTCTGCCACCAGAAAAGAAGGTTCCATTGGCTTACCTGTGTGCTTTAGGTTATATGATTCTACCATAGTTATTGGCACACAAGTCATATAATTGTATCTTCCAGGGCTAATATAAAAGTCTAACAGGCATAATTTAGGAGGACAATAACATTTTCTAATAAAGCAGCATAAGAGCTCATAAACTTAAAATGATTACTTTTACACATATCAATTTGTGTTTTCTCATGACCCCCAATAATTTAACGTTAAAAGGAGACATATAAATAGATACAATGTGAATTACTTTTACTTGTTTTTTTCAAAATATTTACTCTATGTCCTGACTGTCTTCCATATGCCCATTACCCTTTGGCAATATTGATAGAGTTGCAATGTCTAATTATGTCCCCTTAAAGGATATATGAATGAAGAGAAGCAATACTTTGAAATAGTGTTGAGGCCTGCATTTTCAGCATTTGTTTAGTTTGCTTTGCGGCTGGCTTTTTAAGGATGCAAATACTATAGCATCATCGATTTTTAAAGCCCTGTAGGCTTTTAAAGCCTGAGGCGGTTCTTACTAGTAATTGGGCTGTTTCAGCTTGAGCCAATCTGATTGTCCTGGCAAATCCTTTGAAGTGATCTGATGTAAGCAGAAACCACTCTACACAGAACATCCCTTTATAAATGGCAACATTTTTTTTCCCCCTATTGGTCACAGGTAAAAAGCTTAAGAACTTTAATAGAGTGGAGTCACAGCACTGACTATATATTTGACATGCTTTCTGTTCTATAAATATTGATTTTCTTTCTTTGGAGAGGTAGATTTCTAACTGTGTATCAATTGACATGGTGATTAGAAGCAACTGTCCTTATATAACCTCTAGTTGTTCTTCTTCCTTTTCTTAATGGGCTGCTGTGCTTTTATTTTGAGCACAAATTGAAAATAAAATGGTAAAGACTCCCAAACAAAGGTATTTATATGTAACTGGGAAAGCAGCTTATTTTCCTTGACATTGTTGTAGTATTTTCATCTGTACTCTATGTAAACAGAAACCACACATTTAAAGAAGGTTTGTTGAACTTATTTTGAAAGTTAACTCTAGTGCTAACCTTTTTAAAATACTTTGGAAAAATCAGCTCATCAAAGGTAATCTTTTTTAATAGCATCTTTGGATCTTTTATTAAACTTTAAGGTCCACGTTCATTTTTCTCTCTTGAAATTTGTATCTGAAAATACAAATGTTTTCAGCATGCTGATTTGTTTAAAAGATAACAATATTTAATAACCAGCCCTTTGAATGTAGGGCCTAATTTCTTTTATAATTCATAAAAATGTAGTTTCTGGCTGATATCATAAGCACAGGTTTTGATGTTTCCAGCAAAATGTGCAGCATGCAGGATTTTTGTTTTCTTTTTAAATAATCCATGTATATTAGTTTTGGGTTGAGTTAACATGAACACATCTGAAAAGAGTGTGGCACTTCTGAAAATACATTTGTACCTATGAATTTTGAATTTTTGTTACTTAATAAGTGCTTTTTCATTAGTACCAACCATGGTATCACTGAGTGAATATGATATTATGAGGAGGAAATTCTCAATCATTTTGATATGCTGTATTGTAACAACACAGAATTTATATACCTCCGCGATCCCTTGAAATGCTAAATGTTGAAGTAAATGATGACACTTGTATTCAATATTGTTGGTGTAGTGGACAGACAACTGCTTTTCCTCACTGTAGCCCATCACTGGTCAGTTTTTATTGTTGGTATTGTTACTAGTA